AGCCCCCGGGCCACGGAGGACAAAGAAGCAGAGATACGACTCCCTGTTTTACGCCGCGCCGCCAATTCCGTACTAGCGCTGACTAGCACGCTCTGAAGAGCAGTGATAGGGCGCGGCGTTCAAACCCTCCAAGTAGGCTGCGCCCAGGCAACGGCTGCCGGTCAGCCAGGTAGGATTGGCGGTGTTTTATTCAGTTAAGAAAAGTCTACCGCGGGCGGCCCGCTCGAGGGGCAGACTGCGGTCCGGCGGCGTGGCGTAGCGTGCACCTGGGGCGGGAGACCCCAGCGATCTACGCTCCACTACCCCGCCAGACCCCCAGTCTACGCCCCGGGGCGCGCCGACCCCGGTAGACTTTTCTTAACTGAATACAACACGGGCGAGATGGTGCCTGCGGGGCCTTCCCCAGTCAGCCGCTAAGCTAATATTTTGTCCGCTGCTCACACGAATTACTGAGGAGGCCACCACTCGCGTAATCCAGTGTACAGATGAGGGTGTAATCCCTATGAAATCCTTATGTAATCCGTGAAATACTTGACCAAATTTTAAAATTATCAGCACTCATATCACTAAATTTCACTGATGATCTGACAAAGGGACGTAAGTCCATCACGATGAATTTTCCAGGAGGAGGAAAAAACTTCCAGAATTTTTGGGGACTCAAGGTATTTGTTATACGAATACATAAATAAGCTCCTTATTCTGATGCCTTTTGACTCATAATAGCAGATTTTTGGTACTAGTAAAATACAGAGAGAAAGGCGGACTTACGTCCTATGTGACATCAATGTTTTCCAGAACAAAGGACGCAAGTCCATCATTTTCAGGACCAAAGGACGTAAGTCCACGCAAGTCCATATGGTTTTTGAAAACGGGGCCCAAGTCAACCCAGTTTCTAAAAAGATTGGACTTAGGCCATCAAATGCCAATAAACACAATGACACCATAAGAAAAGGGAAATAAATTGGTTTTAACAATCTCAGCTTGAATGTTATTCATCTATACCTAATTTCCTTCACTTTTTGAACTTGTCTGACTACATTGAAAATAATGTCTACTATGGCTTATGGGTCCACTGTTTGTGTGAGAAAACATCTCCACAACAACTTATTTGTTACGATGTTGAAATTTTAAAGTTCTACTCACCTCTGGACAAGAACATAGAACATTACTGTAAGAAGTGGTGGTGTCACAGTGCACATACCATGGGATGTGTGGACAGCTCCAAAAGACTGAGAAGAGCAGTTGTGGGGGTTAACCTGTTACTCGCGGGACACAACAGACATACAGTCTATTTTCACAACAATTAGTGTTTGACCAAGCTACTGTCACCTCTCAAAATCTACTGTGCCCCGTCCAAACCGGTCTTGGGGTGCAGGCTGCAGCTGTAATGATGTGAGTCGAACTTTAAAATTTTAACATCGTAACAAAGAAATTGTTGTGGAGATGTTTTCTCACACAAACAGTGGACCCATAAGCCATAGTAGACATTATTTTCAAGGTAGTCAGACAAGTTCAAAAAGTGAAGGAAATTAGGTATAGATGAATAACATTCAAGCTGGGATTGTTAAAACCAATTTATTTCCCTTTTCTTATGGTGTCATTGTGTTCATTGGCATTTGATGGCCCAAGTCCAATCTTTTTAGAAACTGGGTGGACTTGGGCCCCGTTTTCAGAAACCATAAGGACTTGAGTGGACTTACGTCCTTTGGTCCTGAAAATGATGGACTTGCGCCCTAGTTTCAGAAAACGCTTGGACTTGCGCCCTTATGCACATTGCTGTCCAGTGCCAACTATAATAGATAATCTGAAACCGTTTTGACTGGGGTGTGTATCATACAGTATTGGTTCTAGAAAGCAGTAGAACACATTTTCCCCAACTTGTGGACTTACGTCCCTTTGTCAGATCATCAGTGATTTCACCTCATTGTCCAAATTTAATGGTTTTAGAGCCTGAAATTTAACAAAATTCATGTGTAATCCCTAAAAATTCATGTGTAATCCCTGTAATCACGTAATCCTGTGTTCATTTGTAATTGAAGTGGTGGCCCCCTCGCGAATTACCGTTTACAACAAATTTCACTTGGAAAACAAACCGCTGCTGAATACTCTCAATGAAATATCCGCAAAATACTAGCACGGGGGCGACGCGATCTGACGAGGTTGATGAAAATTAAAATCTAATGACTCAGTCAGACTTCTCTTCTTAAAAGAAAACGAAAGTTATTCATGACCAAAAGGCCACCAGATTCGAAGTTTAGAGTCTTGTCCAACTGACACCTCAGATCGTATTTGTAAAATTACTACATTGTAACTGTCAAATCTGTTAAAAATCATGTTCCTCTATCAGATGTCAGTGGTTCTGTCTTCCAAATGTGTGCCTGTAGGTGTGTTTGCTGTGGCAATTTTTGGAGAACTTCAAAAATCAATACGGACACATCAGGGGAGGGAAGAGGGTTGCTTTGTATGGCCAGCACCGCAGAGGGAATGGCAGGGGCGACCTCTACTATGTTTCTAGCCATAATGGCGAGTGCATTCAGGTCCAGATTTCTGTGGGAGGACAGTATTGCAGATGAAGTGGCAGGCAAGCGCTGCAACCAAATTTGGGAAAGCAGCGCGTCACTCACTGCAGCGCTAGAGCCAGCGAGTCAACGCAATTGCCGCAAAAATTGGGAAGGCTTGCGATCACCCATAACTTCGTCAGAGATTAAATTCTGGACACGTTTTTGTTCGGAATCAGACAGTCGAGTGATCAAATTACGAGGGGTGGGCGACTTGAGTTTTTCGTGTAGACAGGAGTACGGAGTACACGGAGTACAGTCGGAGAACATTAAGTATTGCCGGTCAGAGCGCGCAGAGTACACCTGGAGTACACCCGGAGTACACCGGAGTACACCCGGAGTACACCGGAGCACACCCGGAGTACAGTCGGAGTACGCGGAGAACTTGCGACAAAACAGCCGGAGTACACGGAGTACAATCGTAAATCACCTGGAGTACATTTTGGCCTGTACACAGGAGCCGCCCAGTCGTCCACCCCTCGTCAAATTATCATTTAAATTCTTATAGGTGCTGTCCCCCATGGGGCCAGTGATGATAACCTCAACCTCAGCTGCAGTTGCTGTGTCTAGCTGACTAACAACATAATGATATTTTTTGGCATTTTGCAAAATATTAAAATTTGTAAACTGGGACTCATATTGGGCAAACCACACACTAGGTTTGTCGGCCCTCGATCCAGGAAGTTTCCCACTCACTGATTTAGCGCTCTTGCCAACATCGGCTTCCAGGGCTGCTTTCGCAGCGTCAGATGCAATCAGTGGCTTTTCGATGGCGGTCCGAGCTTCTTCAGATGCATGAAGATCCTTCTTGATAACTTCTTGTTCCCTCCTCACTCCACACAACCTATCCGGCCACTCTTTTTTCAAAAAATCACGTTGGGGTCACTAATGTAGGTGTGTTTGGTGTCTTTAAAGAGAGTAAAACGGGAGAGTAGTAGAACCGTTGGTACAGAAATAGTATCTACCTTTATTTCCAGATTTGAATAACAATGGTAGTTTCTTGAATATTTTGAGCAGGCTGTAGCACAACAGTAGTAAAGTTAAACAATAAACTGTGTGTTGGGTTTTCGCCCAGGAGCAATAGTTTCTTTATTAGAAAAATCCCCAAAACACCCCTGTTTGTGCCCCGTTACAATAGGATCCCCCCTTACCCCCTTTTGTTTTTATAACAAGTAAATTTAACAGCACATGCAATTTGTTGTTCTGTTTCGTCTTCCAGGTCACCGGGATATTTCATGTCCTCATAGAGATCTCTATCCTCGTCGTACCCGTCTTTCACTGGCGCGCCGCCCACAATCTCGCGTCATACTTCAACGACTGGCGACATTTTGAAGTAAGAATGAACTGGGATGGGGCTGGCAGCTCGCTAAGGTCTATTTTGCCGACACGAGATGGGATAGGGAGGAAATTAAAAGTTGTGACAAAGTGGAGACGGAAATATCAGTACACATTTTGTATTTCGACGCATCTCTGAAAACCTAACAGCATGCGTTGCATCATGAGAGAAGGGCGCCCTTCTCTCATGATTGCATGCGTTATTTAACGCATGCATGGTATGCACACTATATGTAACGCATGCATTGAGATGCATGCTGTATTTAGCGCATGCATTGAGATGCATCCTGTGCTTAATGCATGCATTGCATGCGTTATTTAAAGCATGCATGGTATTGCAAACTGTTTTTCAACGCTAACATTGAAATGCATGCTGTATTTAACTCATGAATTGAGATGCATGCTTTTGCTACAACTCGTTTTCTTGGAACCCATTGGATTCCTTGTAAAATTTCCGTTCAAACGACTGTACATGTTATGGGGTTTCCAACTTGAATACCAACGCTTCAAAAAAGATTTTTAAAAGAACCGCTAAACTTAACGTACAAAGTAACTATGCGGAAGAGCCCCATCTCATGTAGGCTCGTTTGAACGGAAATTTCACAAGGAATCTGATGGGCTTATCAAAAATAAAACCGAAAAGCTCACTTAGTAAATATTCCACGAAAACGAATTGTAGCAACGGCATGCGTCTCAATGCATGAGTTAAATACAGCATGCATTTCAATGTTAGCGTTAAAAAACAGTTGCATACCATGCATGCTTTAAATAACGCATGCAATGCATGCTGTTGGGTTTTCAAACCTCCTCAGCATGCATTACATCGGCGAATACAACATGAAGTTATTTTTAAGAAAGTAAAAAGTCATCTATGCGTTAAAATCTGTGAACACCCGATTTTGAATCATCTCGTAATTCTACCCCGTTCATACTTTGCCACTCAACTTGTCCGACCAATCAGGATAAATGAAATATCCTTGACACCTCATACCCAAACAAAATGAGCAGATTTTCAAGTAAAGATTGTGAACCGAGGCTTTCGGTGTATGACAGCACTTCACCGTTCTTACAAGTGTTTCGTAACATTCTGTTATACCGGCTACGATGCCGACAATGACTTCAGAGCTGCTCAAAATCTACTTAAACTTAAACTCTCCCTGTTCTCGGCGCCCCTTGTAAGCATTTGTGATGATGCGAATGATGTGTCTCTCATTCATTCACGGATTTGGATGGATAATTAATTCAAAGCACAATTCACATGGTATCCATCTTGGTAGATTTATTGAAGAAGAAGGAGGAACCGGATACAAACAAGAAGAACAATAATAAGGCCATTGTAGCCAACATGAAACTTATAACTAAAAGGCAGGGATACCACAGCGAATTGTAGAGAAAGATTTATAACCCTTAGTCTACAAAAACAAACTGACATCATGCTTAGGCTCAAGGTTTTGTTGTAACTCGTTCATTGTGGTCCCACAATCTTGCAAGCTACTAATTTTTTTTTTAAATTGATAAATCTTACATCTTTTTGTTGCTCAGTATAAGGATCATGTCAGTTCAATGCAGAATTACTCTCTGCTTTTATTGTGACTGGCCTATATTGTCTCAACTACTTGATGGTAACGCTATCACACACTTTGGGAATATGTGTAATATATTCCCGTTTACGTAGGATCACCTAGAACAATCGAAGAAGGTGATACCTTGAGCAGACAGGCCACTCACTATCAGTAACCGTATATGGATACTTCACTTTTAACCTGAACGAATAACAAAAAATGAGGTACTGAGCCTCCCATACGAGAAGGTGATTGCCTCCCACTTGTACAAAATGCAATCCCTACAATTTTTCCAAATTGTGCCAAATATCTCACTAAAATATTGCCCAAGCCCAGAAATGTCAAAGCTAGACACACAGTTTCCAAAAGGCCGTCCTTCCTCCAAACGGAGTTGCCAGCTCCGCTTCGCTGCGCCGGCAACTCCGATCGGCAGGGGCCGGCCCCTGCTTGGCCTCCCGACGACAATGATCGGGCCTGCGGCCCGACCATTTTAGTCGCGCTTTATTGCAGAACATAATTCAAGCCACAGTTTCCTTCATAAGGAAGGTTAACAAATTTAAAAAAGGCCATGAATGCAAAGGGTACATGGAACAGCCTGACTGATGAAAATGACAAAACTTTAAAAACAGGTAAGATGTACACAATTGCTGCTTTTAAAATTAGGAAAGTAATAAAGATGAGAAATCTAAACACTTATTTTTCTGTGACAGGCCATTCAAGAATTTACGGAATTCTTAAATAAGTGGAAAGCAAAGGTACCACAGGCTGATTTAGGGCTGGCCTGGAAAACCCACCTTGGCCTGATGGTAACATTGCAAGGTACCCTTGAGCTTGTCAAAGTATCTGGTGAAGTATGTTGGTTACCAGTATCTTATGACAAAAAACCTTAACCAGAATGCACTAGAGGTAAAGTTAAATAAAATTAAAAGAAATATGTTAAATTTACAATTTTACTATGATTATTATTTGATTTGTCTATTTATTCTGTGTAGTAAGAAAAATTACCTTGATTCTCACCCTAACAGCACTTATTTTGATGAAATATTAGGGCAAACTGTGGGTGCAATGGCCATCCTGACCCAAAACAGTTCGTTCAAGTGCTCAGGCTTCTCCAGACTGATTCTCTCATCAAACCTACTCGTGGCAGTAACGTGACTGGTGGGCAAATGCTGCAGTCCTTCACCAGCCTAAAAGAAGTTATCGAAGTAACAGATATTGAAAATAAAATAAAGTTTGAAGAGATACTGCATAATTTGCTAGATAGGGGGGGGGGAGGGATTTCCGAGATTGGAGAATCATTTCCTCAATGGTTTGTTTCTGCAGTGCACCCATGAAACAAAAAGTAATACAGTAATTCTATTTTCAGTGCTAGATGAAGTAATATATGTCAAGTTGGTAAAGCTTGTGGGTTGTGAAGAGCATAAGCAAGAGCTTAGCAAAGCCACACTGTTAATAATTACCTAAGTTTTTCCCAAGCTTAACCTTGAAAATCCAATTCTCCTCGCTTTTTAGCCCGCCCTTCTGCTTTTAAAAAAGCAATAATGCGGGCTTGTGCAACCGCTCTCGTGTCTGTCTGTCCGTCTGTCTGTATGTCCGTCGTCTGTGTAAGAGGAAGGAGATGAGCTAGACGTCTGCAAATTTCATTTTATCTTGTAACTAGACAGGTTAGACAAGTTGTTTGTTTCTTGTGATACAAATAAAAGGTGTAATATTTTACTCAGTTCTGACGTGTATTATCATGGCTATTCCGTGAACGAAACTTTGAAAACTGACCATGCACACACACTACGAAAACAGAAGCTGAATGCTGGATAATGGCCACGCATCACGCATCGCAGCTGATAGGAACCCTGCAGTGCATTGCATTGTTGTCAAGCTATTCATTGGAATTCGTCGAGTTGGAGCTTGGAAAAATATCCAAGCTTCAGATGGGCGAATATCCAAGCTCCTAATAATAATATTTTAAAAGGGCTATGGCCCAGTATTGTTGACAATACTGGCATTGGCTCAGTATTGTCAACAATACTGGGTCATGCTGGTTGGTTACCACAATGTGGTCATTGGTGACCAGTGTCAATATTATTTTAGAACGGCTATGGCCCAGTATTGTTGACAACTCTACCCATTTAGCTGTTGTACAAGCAGTGACACTGGAGGTATCATCTGCTAAAAAGAAACAACCCCCCCACTAAGGCTAAGCCCAAGGTGGCTAAGCAGCCAAACAAGCCTAAGCAGTTCGACACGGAAAAAAATAAGTAGTCCTCACAACTAACAAATTAGCTAATTTTGGGATAGCTAATCCCAAATTCGCTGTGGAAGCTAATAGTTGGTTGCCACAGACAAGAGTTACTTGCCACGGCGTCACGAAACACCCAATTAGTTGTCAGAACTCAGAGCGAACCGATTCGCTCCTGTAGCGACAGCTTCGCTGTGGCAACTAACTCTTGTCTGTCGCAACCAACTGTTAGCTGCCACAGGGAATTTCTTGTCTATCCCAAAGTTAGCTAATTTAGTAGTTGTTACAACTAATCCTTTTTTCTTCCGGGCAGGTTGAGTGGCGGGAGCTGACGGGGACGCCTCTTTTGCCCATTCTGACCGGAGTCCGGACTGTGCGCGTTTGGGCTTCTCTATGCTTCGCGTACGCCGTGCTTAGTATTATCTCATCAAGCTTCTTGTCTCCGGATCTGAAGCGGAACCAGTGGAAGACACCGCTCTACATGGCTGTCCTACTGCACACAGTCAGCATGGCTGCGTTGTGGTCCTTACTTAACTGCCAGGTGATCCGGGTCTGCCGCGCGCTGCGACTTCACCTGCAGCATGAGGTAGAGTCCTGTGTAAGAGGCCGTAGCGAGGGTCCACGACTCCTGTGATCCTGTGTACAGACAGATCGCTATGTTATCCATGTAATACTTAAACGATTGTGTAAAGTTATCACCAAACTTCACCTTCTTATCCAAATGGAATGGTTTTAGCCACATATATTCAACAAAACTCACATGGAATCCCTCAAAATACATGTGTAATCTTTGTGATCGCCTAAACAGAGGCTTATACGCCTCATACACTACTTCAGAGAACGACCGTGAGAGAAGAAGAGCACGAAGATCAACACAGCACTACTGTGCTGTTGCTGCTCGTACTCTTACCTACAAGGAGTTCTCTGAAATGGCTTATTGTTTATAGCTCACATCGATCGGACATCGATTTCGAGCATGTTGCGTGAAAATACTAATTTGAAAATGGAGACCCTGTTTCAAAACATACTGGTTTCAGATGCTTGATTGTACCCGTGCCTTCTGTCCAGTTGAAGTCACGCACTGCCCTTGACGTTGAGAGGGTGAAACACTACTGCCTGGCGTGGCTGCACGTCCGAGACATCTTCAGGTCTGTTAAGACCAGCTGGGGATCTGTCATGTCGCGCTGGTTTATTGTGGTGCCGGGGTCAGCCTTGCTCGCGCTCTTCATCTCCTTCGCCGCGCTCATCAACGGACACTACCGACGAACCATAACAACACTTTTCGTCAGCATCACCAACGCGGCTTACGTTGTCCTAGTCTGTCTCTCCGCTGAGGCCGCAGAAAAAGAGGTGCATACATATCACTATTTCTGTCGATTTACTTTATATATATTTTTGAATACACCTTCTGTCAACTCTATTCAAAATTACAAAGGTGTTTCCAACGGGACGGAATGCACAATTCTTTGCCAAAGGGTAAAAGAGTTCTGCACCACATACTAGCTTTGTGTACGCCAGACCACGTATCGCGTAAGAGGCTTCGCGATATCTCACACAACACTATTACGTTGCGACGCGCCTGGCGCACATATAGCTAGGCCTGCGGCGCTGACACCCGAGACGAGTTAATGGGAGGGTATACGGTAACAGGGCCTTCCGACCCCAAAATTTTGCATACTCACGGCATTTGTTGGTGACTTATTACTCTATATTAGGGCCATGAAACTTCTGCTGTACGATAACGGTTTTCATTAAAGGTTCGAATTTTGACAGATTGTTATGTAAAAATCATCGTTTTAGTGATACTAGATAGTCTAGGGACCCTTAAGCCCAAAAGAGGGTGTGGTTTGACCCGTAATGTGTGGTTTAAGTATTACTTACTTTCCAATTCTGTGACATGAAGCCTTTTTTACGATTAAATAGACCATTTGGTCTTTTTTATCTTGCTTTCGCCAAGAAATGCCCCCTAGCACCCAAACGGCACAAGATAGAACAAAACGGATGAAATTTTCGGTCATTTTGACGGGTTACCCATTAAGAGCCCATAACAAAATATTTGTGAAAAAAAATTGCGACCTGTAGTTTTTGATTCTTTTAAAAGTTGATTTTTCAGCAAGAATGCTCATCTTCGAACTCGATCTGTCTTTTTACGATACAAAACGACTATGAAACGCCAGATCGCTCTATTAATTCTTTCTCGAGTTATCGTTTTTGTATCATGTGAAGACAAATCCAGTTCGAAGATGAGCATTATAGCTCAAATATTAGCTTTTTCAAAACAAAAAACAAAAAAAAAACACTGGTGGCAATTTTTTTTTTTTAATTATAGGTTTTTATTGATTTCCTGGGGGTTATTTCGAAATAAAGAAAAGCCTTTGACAAAAATAAAATTTTCATCTGTTTTGTTCTATCTCGTAGTATTTGGGTGCTAGGTAGCATTAATTTCTTGACGAAAATAAGCCGCAAATAACCCTGTTAAGCCGTAAAAAAGGATTCATATCGAAAAAGTGCACTGATAAATAAGTGTTCTAATAGCGTGCACATGCACCCACGTGCTCAACACTAATAACAAAGTTGCACACGTTTGAGTGCTTCGAAGTGTTTAACAGTAAATTTGAACACTTTAATGTTTCCAAAAGCTTCATAGCGAACCCTTGTGTTGAACACTTTCAAGGGTTCAACTTTACTGTTGAACACTTTATCAGCACTTTATAGTATTCAAATACCCCGAAATATCCAGTCAAACACTTGAATGTGTTGCAACATAGTGTTGAGCACGTGCGTGTGCACGCCAGTTGAAAACTTTATTTATCAGTGTGAAGGGGAATTATCCCTTAAACCACACATTTTGAGTCGAAACAGACCATTTTTTGGGTTCTTGGTGCCCTTATTATCACGAGAAAGATGGTTATTACGTCAGAATCTCACAAATTTGGGACTTTAAATGTAATCTGTTCCAGTTTAGCTCAAGTCGCGTTTCGCATATTTATTTGAAGTGATGACCCTAACATTCGCTGTAGGGATATTCGATCTGGGGCTGTAAGGCCCGATTCCTGTAGTTATCTGATGGCCATCGATATAGAGATTGGTGGCGATTCTCCCGACCTCAGAGGTAGGCGCCTCGCAACTTTGCGCAATCTGGCGGAACTATGCCGGGTGGAACTATAGCGAGCCAGCGAGCCCTAACAGTACTTTAAAGTGTACAAAGCTTCATAGCCAACAAAGATGTTGAACACTTTTAAGGGGAGGCTTCACTGAAAAATGGCGATTTCCTGTCAAAATACCGGTTGCTACGTTATGTTCAACCCCTCAAAATAATTTTACTTGCTACTCTGGTATCGTTACTAAATTTAGTTTACAATACGGAAATAATTTGAGTCTCAGATAGTTAGTTTTTGCGGTTAATTCAGAACCCTGTTTTCTAATGTTCCAAACATCCCTTGAGCATTTGGTTTTGAGCTATTATGTTCAGGCCAAAAACGCCGTCTTGGTTTTCAAGCAGTTCGGGTAAAAAAAAGACGCTCCCGTGTATTTTCTCCATAAGAGTTGCTCGGCTGCTTGAAAACCAAGACGTCGTTTTATCCGTGTTGAAAACTTGTGGAGATCTACTTTAAAGCAATGGTCAGTAACGCGACATCCTTACGTAACGTTACAAGTTTTAAGAGTCCGGCGATGTAATGTTGCACACTTCTGTTCCGCTAAAACTTTAACGTTACAGTCGCGTTACGTCTCTGTACCCGTTACCGATTGATTCAGTTCGGAATACCGGTACAAGGCATAAGCGCGTTACTCGATACTTGTCCAAACGTACCTTTACCTTTGTAACTGCGTTATTTACCTGAAACAGAGACAACGCGTTACAGAACCGGCTAAGAAACAGTACGGCCGATAGCAATAAGCATAATAAAAGACACCTCGTGAGATGGTCAAGAAGGGGAAGATGGTCGGGGTCACACCTCGTTCTTAACAGCCACACCCGGGCCGCCAACCTACGCTGAGTGCCTTTCGTCGTGTCGCCCTGGGCCTTAGCGCAGTGCTGGCGCATAGAGATGGGCGAACATGTTCGCATTCGATCGAACTCGAACGAACATCGAGCTGTTCGTGATCGCTCGAACACGAACATGAGGTGTTCGGATTCGAAATGTTCGGACACTACTCGAACAGAAGTTCGTAGGCGAACAAAATTGAAATATGTTTCAGAAATTCACCTCAAAAATGGGTATAATTGAGGGGGCAGTAGCAGTTTAATAAATAACTACAAGTTCACACGTTAATGAAACTATTGGAAACCAGAATGGATAGCTTTTATAACGACTAAGCAAGACAAATTGGTAATAATTGTTCGTGCTCGGATCGAATTTGAACATTACATTTGTTCGGTTCGGTTCGTTCGAAGAAAAAAATGCTTGTTCGTGTTCGTGTTTGTTCGAAGATTTTTGGACCAAATTTGTTCGAGTTCGTTCAAATTCGAACTGGCCTGTTCGCCCATCTCTACTGGCGCACATGATGCCGGAACCCGAGCTCGAGCACCCCGTCGCCGTCTACAGAAGTCTGCCCATACCGTTGCCCCCGACTGCGCCACAGGGCATGTGTATCGGAGCCATGGTCCGGGACTGGGTACGGCTGGCGAACCTCGCACACCTCAGGCCCGAGCCCGACCACCCCGTCAGCGTGCACTGCGAGCTACCTATTCCCCTTCTCAGCCGTGCCCCTCGCGAATTCCCCTATTCTTGTGAGCAGATAGAGGGCAAGAAGTCAGACTTTCTTAGCAGATGATACCTTACAATCTTAAACTTACTTACACTTAACATTCATAACTATACATTATACATCAGTAGTGTAAGATGTGAGTTGCTTTCACTCTCGATGAAGAATATAGGCACATGTCAGAAAACTGTTCACATTCGACTCGTGGATTTTGAAGAAAGTTATCTTGTTAATTTTTTTGCCCAGTACCACACTTTCGGATAGTTATGGACAGAAGAAGTCCGACGCGTCCTAACAACAATGTTCTATCTACCGAGCGTCGTTTTCAAAATGGTCTATCTACAAAGGGTCGTTTTCACAATGTCCTATCTGCCATGATTTTCTTAAGCAGATAGAACATTGTGAAAACGACGCTTTGTAGATATATAGGACATTTTGAAAACGACGCTCCGTAGAAAGAACATTTTTTCTAGGACGCGTTGAGTCATTTGCTGTTCAAAAAATCTTGTCGCAGATGGTTTCTTTGTCTTTTTCTTTCATCTATGCCTAATTACATTGAAATGTCTACGAAAGCCTGCTTTGATCGTCTGCTCCCAGCTGAGTTACTGTGTTGAATTCGAGTGGTCCCCAACTGTGCGATCTGCCGGTGTACACATGATGTAGGCTTCCCGGTTTTCCTGAGTTTTCCTCGGGTTGTCTTAGTCATCTAGAGGTTTTCTTGGGTTTCTTACGTTTTATTCGGTCTGTCTGAGTTTTCTTTGGTTTTCCTAAAGAATTTCAAGGCTTCATGAGGTTTCCTTCGATTTTCTCTTGGTTTTCCTGGGTACTCTTGGTCTTCCTTGATATTATCTTGGTCTTACTTGGTCTTCCTGGCTTTTAATTTCCAATTTTTTCGTGGTCTTGCCACAACTTTTCTGGTCTTGCTAGAATTTTTCTGGTCTTCCAAAGAATTTCTTAGTCTTCCCCTGATTAATGCCGTCTTCCCGGATATTTTTCGGTCTTCCCACTGTGATTCTGGTCTTCCGGAAACTGTTTGGGGTTTCCTATAAATTTTTGAGGTGAAAGTGAGCTAGGTCTTACTTGTAGTTTTTTCAGTCTTCTTAGGTTTTGTTTGGTCTTTCTGGTGGTCTTCCTAGGTTTTCCAGGTTTCTGGGCTGCCAGTTTACACGCTCAAACCTAGTTGGGGACCCCTCGGTTGAATTACGTGTTGAGTTACAATGGCGCGAAAAAGGTGGGTGGGGACGGGGTAAGGACGGGG